AAGTTGTGGAGTTTTTGTCCATGAGGCATCTCCTAGATAAATTTGCTATTTGTGTTGGGAATAGAGTTTTGTGTAATTCTGTGTGTCTGAATGAAGTAGCTGATGCATATTTCGTGTAAGATTTTCATAATGAGTAGATTGAATTCTTCCATACAGGGACTTGTTCTTACATTAGCATTGATAACTTTGAGAGACTAATGTTTAAACTCCAGTAAGAAAAATATCTATAGCTATATCTATGTAAAATAGAGATATATATGTGACTTACTGCTTCAGGATTTTCTCCAGTTTTCCAAAGTCTCCTGTCCGTTGTTTCTGGACACCTTCGTCTGCCACACGATTTTAAACAAAGTCTATCATGTTAGGAACTGTGATAGGCTCATCTTCATGTGATTCATTCTCTTCAGAATTTACTTCACAGTTCATCATTTGGGTTTAAACTGCTTGCTTAGGGGAAGAACCTGGAAGCAATGTGAAGAGGGACTTTTTTCTGTGTGGACTTCTTTGTCATTTCTTTTAGTCTTGTGCTTTTGTACTTATCAGTTGTTTTTGACCTTGAATCAAATTTAAAGCAGGTAATATATGTGTTGTGACACTAATGTAGTTTTGTTCTTACTTAGTGTCTTTATCTGTCAAAATACTGCAACCAGTTGATAGACTAAATTCTCGTTTTGGTTTTTTTTTTTTTTCTTTCAAGACACTTGAGTTTCATGCTCATGGTCTGAATCATTATAAATGATGCTGTGACTTGGTGTACTGCTCTCAACTTGCTGTTGAGGTTATTTCAGACTCTCAGTGTGTTTCTTTGTTTCTTGTGTGCCTTTGTGCTTGCTCCAAATCTTTGGAAATGTTTTTAAAGACCAGATGCTCCTTGTGTGGCAGGACTGCCTTGTCTGACTTAATTCTTCTGTTCTTGTTGCCTTTTTCTCATCTTAGTTTTTCTGGAATCAGTATTAAAGGAATTCCATTTTCTTGGCTTACACTTGTTGCCTCCTGTTGTACTTGAAATGCTTGAGAAGGAACCTCCTTATTTATTCATCTACTGGAGAGGTATTTCAATGAGGGAGGGATATTGAGCAAGCAGAGAAGTAGTCTAGGCAGCTCCAGGTCCTTTGAGCAGCTCTCTGGCAGGAATGATTCAAGCCTGGAATGAACAAATGCATAGCAACAGTGTTTATTTTATTTTGATATTCAAGAGGGTGAATGAGTGTTTGCGATACATTTGCAGTGTGTTGACAGTATCTAGGAACAGATCAAGAACTACTGAGACTGCGTTGCCCAGCCCAGGATCAGTGAGGCACCATCACTTGGACTCAGCACTGTGCAGGCATGGGGAGCTCCCAGGGATCCATATGGAGGGGATGGAGAGAGGAAAACAATAAGAAAATGAACTCTGTAAGGTCCATGCCAATCTAATTACTCGTAACTGTGTCATTAACACTGAAGTCAGAGTTAGACTGTAGGTGTTAGGCAAATCCTAAGCCCCACTGAAATTGTCTGTGCTCTTAAACAAGAGGAGAAGGCTGCATTAGGATGGTCAGTCTTTCCACAGAATCATTTCTTTATGGTTGTCCTTAACAAGATCTTTCTGCCAGTTTGCTTTTTGTTGGATTAATTTTTACAGCTTCATAATCTGATGCTTTTAGTTACATTGACAGTGCAACAGTGCGAATTTGATTATTCTACCTCCTCTTTGCCCAGTTGCAAACAAGCGTTTAACATTTTAACCCAACAATCTCTGCCTTCAATCTAAACTGTTGCTATGTTTGTATGCCACAAGTTGCCCTCCAGTTGACTTGGGAATGCAATGAGGAAGAACAATCTTTCAGGTGCACTGAATCTAAAATTAACCTTCCACCTGAGTAGCTGTATGTGCAAAGCACTGTGCACTGAGTTCAAGGAAAAAAAAGATACTTAGACCAGAAAATAAAACATTTTCTAAATGTAAACACTTGACTTTGGTGTTGTCCTTTGAGACAGGAGCAACAGCTGTAGTTTAGCACTTTTAGAGCTGGGCTTTGCAACCTGCTGCTGCTCTGTAGAGCTGCTGTGTAACAATAACATCCTGCACTTCAGTGAAATCGAGTTTAGTGCATGAGTACATGGGCCTGTTGAGAAAAAAGTCAGGATGCCTTTTAAGTTGCTTGACACAAAAGTAGTTCAGAGATGGCTTTTCTAGAGTAGTTTTATAGTGTGACTGGTCAGGGGGTGCTTTGGTGCAAGCAGTAGTAGAATATCTGTATTTCCAGCTGTAGAAGGAAGCAAAATAACTGTGGGTGGTGTGGAGGCGCAGTCAGAGTGGGATGGGAACAGCAGTTTGCTGTTGTGTGGCAAAACTATATCCTTACACTAGTACTCTGTGCAAGAGTCTTGGTGTGGACTGAAGGTAGATCAAAAATAGCTGCTGGCAAGGCTGTAACCTGAAACCTGGGCTGAAAGGATGCTGTGACCCTTCTCAGGTGTGCACCAGAAATATGCCCTAATGCCTTAGATAAATAATGCTGCACTTGTAGTAACATCTCCTGGACTGAAACTCACATTCAGGGTCTGGTATCTATGTAAGTCATGCAGAAGATTTAAGTCAAGAGCCACTCTTTGGAAAGAGCTGAAGACTGTATTTATGTTGGCTTAAAATTGTGTTGTTTTTTCCAGCAGGCACGGGGAAGGGATTGTCACAGCCATGTGTGACACAGGCTTGCCACAGAGCACATCTGCTGGGTGCAAGCTGCTGCTCAGGTCTAGGGAAGGTTCTGCTGGAGCTGCAAACCTAAATTCTGTTTTGGTGTGAATCTATGGAGATTTTAGGGGTGTTAGATGAGCCAGCTCTAAACCAAGCTTAACACAAAAGAAAGATACATTTCAGAGCAGCTTTGATCTGTATAAACTAAGTTCTACAGGAGTATAGGGCAGTAACTTAGGGCAAGAAGAGTAGTTTTGTGCCTGCTGAAAGCATGTAGTAGTGTAATTAGGAGAGCTTGTAAAATGGTCCTTAATGGTCTGTGTTGAGAGACTGCTCTTCAGTGCAAGTTCCTATGCCAGTGTTTCTGACACTAATATGGCCAAAACCAACTCCCTCAAGATAATATAAATTCCTCCTTCCAATATAAATGCCTCCTTCCAATTAGTTTTGTGTTAGTGTTGATGTCTACTGACTGTTGCAAAATAGAATCCTAGTGAGATATCATGGCAAGGTATTAAACAGTCTTTTTTGATGCTGGCAAGGTGGCTTTGTTTAATCTTATGAGTAGGTTGTCAGAAAATGTGAGAAAATGGAGAGGTGTACTAAAGATGAAGAGTTAATGAGGGGTGTGATCCAAATTTTTAATTCCTAATGGGTAAAGATATAAGTAAAAATTCCAAAGGGGAAATAATGATTTGGAGTGGTTACTGCAGTGGAACTGAGAGAGATGGACATGGATTGTGAAGGTAAAAAAATAGTCAATCTAAGATTTACTTTTTAAGTGTTCTACCAGGCTATAAATCGGCATCTCAAGTGGAGACCTGTTATTTGGATATCCAGGAATAGGAAAGAGCAGATGGGTATTAAACAAGCAGATCACCTCTGCCCTTGCCAGGGCTGGATAGCAGAATGATTCAATCCAGTCTTCTACTTTTGTGTTCCTATAAAACAAACAAATCCCTTTTATTCTTGTTGTCAACACTCTAGTTGGCTCCAGATGTTCCTGGAGTGGTGGTTATTGCTTTGGTTCTGACCATTGGAAGAGAAGGTCTGCCTATGTGCATGTTAGAATAAGGTGTGAGCATGATGTGCATGCATATGCGTAAATACAAGTTAAGAATGTCCTATAACATGTGTCTCAAAATTAGCCCTTTATGACTTGAAATGCTTCTTCTAACAGAAGCAAGTTGGTGCCAGAATTGCTAGTAATGGCTTTCTGGAATGAAAGGGGCTAAAACTTTCCAGATATTTTGCCATCTATAACTTTTAGAGTCCAGGAGTTAGGAATCTAAACTGCTTTCATGTGTGTTTTGTTGTCATGGTTTTCAAGGCATAAGACTCAATCTGCCTTTTTATTTTTTATATTTTTATTTTTTCATGAAACTAGAAAGGAATTCTGGCCTATGTTTGGTGGTGGTGGCTGTTCCCAGGTGTTTCTCAAACCACCCACAGTTAGTGTAGTGTGCTGCCTCTTTAATTTTGTATTCATAATTGGAACTATTGAGGTGTTCTCATAAGTATGTTCCACTTATCCCTATTTTTTTAAGTCTTTGAAAAAGATGTGTAACAGGGTTTAAATGGCTTGTAACCCTTTAAAGAAAATTATAATTCATTTTAGGAGAGGCACTATTTCATGAAGTGATGAGAACATCACAGCTTTCTGCACAGAGGTTGAAAGCTGAACGAGGCCAGTCTGGGACTTTGGCTGCCCATGAGTGAATCAAAGGGTGGTAAGAAAATTCCATATGCTTGGGTTCCCCAGGACACTTGTGCTGTTTCACAGCTGAAAAATCTGGTCTGAGCAGGAAAAGGCGGCCTCAGCCATCTGAGTTTTTTGTTGCATGAGCTGAAGTGCAAGAGACAGAGCTGTGCCGATTTTTGCATATGGAGCACAGACCTGCTGGGTTTGGGCTGCTGTGGCTGGGAGCTTCCAGGCTCCAGGTCCTTGGAGCACATATACACCAAGCTTGGAGAACATCCTGGTTGGCTGTGAATGTAGAGGGTATCTGTGCAAGCTTGCAGGGGAGTCTTGGAAGCAAGAGTGTGGTGGTAGGTGGTGTGTTGGAGGTCACTGGAGAGGCAGCGTTGGAAAAACTGTGTTGATACTTTGTCCTCTCACAGGTTTGGACAGCAGTTTTCCCCCTTCTCTAGGGGATTTAGTCCCAACCTTGTCTGTGTTGCTAAACACTAACCACAGCAAGTTCAGCACTTACCTCTGTTTGACTTTACTGCAGCCGTTAATCAGTGAAGACTGTACTGTGAATGCTGTGTGTGAATATGTGTAGCTTAATCTCTCTCTCCTTATCTCTTCCTCTCTCAGCACCAGAAATTGTCCTTGCAAAATGAGCCAGCTTCCTCCGAAGAGTCCTTTGGCATCCCTGGTGTCAGAGGGCACGAATTCCAGGGTAGAGGCTTTGGACAACTTGTCAATGGACAGTTTTTGGCTAGAAGTAGAGAACATTAAACAGAGCGCTGAAGCCGAGCAAGAGGAATGCAGCCTTGCAGATCTCAAAACACAAGAGGGTAGGTTGCCAAAAATGTTGGGAGTGAGGAGAGGAATGTGAACATCTGAAACAGGAAATTTGCTTACGCACCTGAACGATTTATAAACATGTGGGAGTATGGTTAGAATATTATCAGTCAATCAGAGATAGACATATTATTTTAATTGGGTGGTGGGTAATGCCCTGCAGAAGGGAAGTGCTGACCCGGCCTGGTTTTGGCTTCTGAAGCAAAGCTGACTCTAAAGGTCAGTCACAGGAGCATGTTCAAGGCTCCAGATTTTTTTCAAACAGCCCTACTAAGTGGGGGGGATCTCACTCCCACTGCAGGTGGCTGCATGTTAAACACTCTGTGAAAGCTGACTGTGTTTTGGAAGGCTTGTTTGTGTACGTGGTTCTGAGATTCATCATAGTGACTTTTATGGGAGCTGCTTCTGCGGAAGGCAGACTGTTCCCTCTCTGATTCACTGTTCAAGAAAACACAGTAAACATCTAGAAAGCCTTGAGTCCTTCCACACAAGGTTTTTCCAGCATATCTCTTTTTTTTTTTCTTTCTTTCTTTCTTTGGAAAACTGTTTCATGTGCATAAGGTGTTTTTAATGGGCTTTCTGTAGCAGTGATGCTATCCAGTGTTTTGGAATAAGTGGAACCTGAAATAACTATATGCAGTGTTTTGGAATAACTGAAATCAATCGTAATCCAAAATTTTTGGAACACAGTTGCCTCTTCTAGAATCATAGAATTTTTTGCATTGAAGGAGATACTAAAGTGATGGCACTGTGGGCACAGACCTTGATGCCTGGGGTGGCAGGTGTCTGAATCAACTTTATTTAGAACATCAACATCTTATATATGAGGTTCAAAAAGTAACAAATGATGTTTAACTACATATAAGTATTCTACGGTGCATGTGCAACAGAGTACCAGGAACTGCATTTCCCAGGATGCCTTTCAGCACCCTCCCTGTGACGCTCACTACCACACTAAAGCTCAAGTTATTCCACCCCCTGCCATGGGCAGGGACACCTCCCACATCCAACCTGGCCTTGGACACTTCCAGGGATGGGGCAGCCACAGCTTCTCTGGATAACCTTTGCCAGGGCCTCACCACCCTCACAGGGAAGAATTTCATCTGAATATCTAATCTAAATTTCCACTCCTTCAGTTTGAACCTCAGTTTACTCCTTGTCCTATCACTGGTGAGCAGGAACCTTTTCCTTATGAGCATTTCCTTTTGACATGCGAGGTACAACATCGTGGTGTGTTTGGAGGGATGATAAGTGGTGACAAATACCCAGTGATCCCATAGTTTGGGATCATACCTTTCCTGGGTCCATTTTGAAAAATAGGGTCAATAGCTCTCCTGGGTTCATAGGGGGCCTCTGGAGAGAAGGATGTGAAGATCACCATCTGTGTTTGCTGTAGCAGGCAAGACATGATAAACATTAAGGTCTGCTGATTGTGTCCCTACATAAAGGATGTAAGTTTGCTTTTTAGAACTGGAGGAGATGCAAAGTAACCAAGAAAACGAGTGCATCAGGAAGGAGATTCTGGAAAAGAGACCATGCCATGAGATGAAAGACTGTCTGGGATATCCAAAAGGCTGATATGCTGGAGGCAATTTAATTACCATGTGTATGCAGGAAATGTCTTTTAATGCCGTGTGTTAATCTGTCAGGCAGGAGCTGACTGCTTAATTGACCATTGAAACCAGACAGACTTGAAATAATGCTCTGAGTAGCAAAGCCTTCCTGGTGGGCTGGGGAAAGTGGTGCAGCACACTTGGGCTCCTGGTACCTTCTCCAAAGGAGCTTAGGCAAATAAGGGTTCTGCTGGGAGCACTGGTGATGAGGGGAAACTTTGGATGGTGTGGAGGCAGGATTTGACTGGTGCCTGTTGGCTTTCACACCTCTGCAGCTTCTGGTTGGAGCATGGAAGCTTTGAGGCTCCTCAGAGCCAGAGGCACCATTGCTCTTTGCATAAATTCCAGGAAGTTGTACTTGGACAGTGGCAAACAGCTCCATCTGGAGACAGCATGGAGAGATGGCTGATCACAATCACTGCACAAGGGACAGTGAGGAGGCTGTGTGGAGATAAGGCATTGCAAAAAAGCTGACCTAGTTGGAGAACTGGGCTCCTGTGCAAGCCGTGTGTGAGGGGAGGTGTTGTGGGAAGCTGCTCCTGACCTGGGAGGTCAGAGTGTAACTGTGCAGAATTGGGACAGCTGAAAGGTGTTGATGGTCTTGTGGCCTCGCTAATGGTTGATGGGAGCAGAAAGTAGTTTTTTCCTGGAATACAAACAGCATTGTCCTTTCTTGCTTGTTGCTGTTTGCCGAGGTCTCCCCAGGGCCTGACAGCACAGCAGGGTCTCTGCCACTAAAATTCACTTCCTTCCAACATGTAACCATGGCTGAGAACTGTCTACAGAGTGATCTTTCTCCACCTTCAAAAACTAGGTAAGAAGCTGTGCTTAATGTTTAGTCTGAAATTGTAGGATGCCATAGCTGTCCTTTAAATACTTGGAAACTGAATGCTATATTACAAATGCTCTTTGTGGCCAGCTTATGTTTCAAGTAATTCTTTAGAAGTGGTGTTCTTTAGTTTTTGTGAAATCATTCCTAATTGTTCTCCACTGAAGTGCTGCTTGCTCACAAGGCAAGTCTTAGCAGCTCTCCAGTTTTAAGCCTGCAGCTCAGCTTCTGTGGATCTCTCTGTTCTGACCTGTTTCTCTCCCATTTTTAACCTTTTCCCCATAAATAACCTATTTTGCTGGTTTCCTTTTGTGCTACTGGCAAACATAACTGGGCCAAAATATTAAACAGAGGAATTACAATCTGGTGCTTTGGCATCAGAAGGGGCAGTAGGCTCACATGGATGTTCGATTTAGGGGCTGCTGTTTAGTATTGTGTACTAGATTTGTTTCCTGTTATGACTGGAATGGCTATTTTCAAAATTTGCAAGCAATACATTTCACTTCCTCTGGTTCCCAAAGGCAAAATAAACCAGAGGCTTTTTGTGTGTTGTTCTGCTGTGAAACCATGGATGTAGGACAAATGTACAGTGAGGAGTTGTGAGTGGGACCACAAGTGGCTGTGCCCAAATGAGCACTACTGTGGGGATGCTCTTAACTCTTAGATACTGTAGAACCAGACACGGGAAAAGACCAAAACTTAAGACCATGTAGGAAAACCAGATAGTTTGCCAGTAGATTCATTAAGGGAATTACTTGACTTCAAGTCCAGCTCTGTTGTGGTGTGATGAAGAGAAACGTTCTGTTTCGTTACAGCACCTAAAAACACAAATAGTATGCTCTGAAGGCCGAGAAGAGTTTTAATTGTCACAACATATGTTTGCAAGCCACATGAACACAGAGGTTTCTCCAGAAAAATGACGTTATTGAATCTCTCAGGAAGAGCTGCTTGGCTGCTTTATTATTGATGCAGGAATAATAAAACTTGGCCTGAGCAGCTGTGATAGCTGAGGAGATAAAAGTTTGCATAGGACAGAAAGACTGGGAATGGACTGTTCTGTGTCAGTTCAGTTTTGATTTTTCTTTTCCCAATATAACCTTTGGTAGAACTGTACTGGAGCTGCCTGCAGTGAATCCATGTGGTGCGTAGAACAGAAAAGATAAAAGGCTTTGTGGTGTTTGCTGTGTTAAAGTTGAAACTGCCTGCTAAATTGTTTCTTTTATCTTTGGATTTCAAGTAGCTGCCTTGCTCAGGGCACTTTCTCACTTGCACTTCCTTATGAGTGCAACTCATAAGAAAAAAATTGTCTTCTGTGTTTGAAGTGCAACTTTATTAAGGAATGAAGTGAACTTGAGATTTTTGAGTGATGCTGCTGTACTATCTCCAGGCTTCTCACACTTCCTTCTGAATCTGAAATGGTCTTTAATTTTAGTGATGTTTTGAATAGGCCCAGACATAAAGGGAATACACAGAGTAAGAATAACGTTTTTGCTTTTGTTGAGTGTATGGATACCAATTCACTTAAAAAGGTAAAGAGTAGGGATGGTGCAAACAAATAGTTCTGCGAGTATATTAAATAAAATACATTTGAATCTACCAGATCAGGGTCCGGATATTAAAAGAAAAAAGAAGCTGATATACAGGCATACGCATAGATAAATAAAAATTAAAATAAATAGCCAAGTAATTTGGAAAAGTACAAAAGCTGAATATGCAGTGTTGTGGCTTCTCACAGACCTTTTGTCCGTTCTCAAAGCTGTCAAAGGATCACGTGTGCTTCAGGGAGACACTGCCGTTCCCTCTGGGGGGGCTGTGTTCCATTGCCAGCTGTCAGAGCTCCCCTTTGCACAGGCAGCTGGGTACCAGGGAATAGGGCTAAGAATTTGAGAACAGCTGTGGCTTCCTAACCAGGATGTGTTAGGAACCTAACCTAAACTTCCACTGATGTCCCATTGCCACCTCAGAAAGGGGATGGCTCAAACTTCAGGTTTTCTGCCTCTGAAGCATTGCAAGCACCCAAATTTCTTTTGTCTGCTCACTTTGCCTTCTCATCCCTTGCCTGGCAGAGGGAGAAGCTGAAGCTGAGTGGCTCCAGGACGCGGGTCTGTCTGAGCTCCTCGGAGACCGTGGCTCAGACAGTGACAACCTCGTGCTGCTCTCCACCCTGACCCAGACCCAAGCGGCCGCTGTGCAGCGCCGGCTGGACACCTACTCCCGCTCCCGCCGGAGAAAGAACAAGCACTCTGTGCGTGATGTCCGGGACATTTTCGGAGTGGCCAGCTCGGAGGTTTGTTGATTTAGTGGGATCTCTTGAAAGACTTTGTTGCCTTCTGGTGGCTGACTTGCCTTTCTGGGTCTAGGGCTGCTGTCATGTCCAAAGAGATGATTTCATCCCCTGAGCTGAAATGGAGCTGAGATTGGAGAAATTCTACATCCTGGTTGCAGTGCTGATAAGTTATTACAAAACCTGAAGATTCATAAACTTCCTAGAGGCTGCTGGAACAATTCTGTATCCTGCCTCTATATGGTGTCTACAGCATGACAGCCTCATGGAGCACTGGCATCATTTGGAGCCCTCTTGTGTCTTCTTTATTCCAGTGACATGTTAAATCATCATTATTAACCAAAACAAAAGAACTTCTTAAGTTCAGTTCTGATAAGCTGACCTTGTGCAGCTGAAAAATCCTGGAGGAAGAGTTAGAGCTGCCTTTTTTGGAGGGTTTTGGTTTTTTTTGTTTGATGCCTGCTTTTGTGGGTTTTTTGCCAGAGAATACATAACAATTGGCTTTTCAGCTGTTTTCCTGCAGTTCTGCTTCTCTTTTCATTCTAGTCAAAACAACATTTTTCTTATTTTTCAGGAGACAGCAGCAGAGAAAGAGGAGTCCAACCCAGATCTGTTGTGGCAGAATCTACAGACTACAAATGCACAGAGAAGTAAGGAGAGTTTTTAAATGTAGAGTTGGACTGAATGAGGAGTAGGATCTGAAGTAGGGCTGAAACTGGAAGGAAAGATAGATAGATAGACTTATATAGTTGTTGTTATAGTTTATATATAGTTTATATAGTTTGCTGCTCAAACTGATAACGGTAACTCTGCAAGAAAGCAACTGAGAAATGAAAATAGAATCAGTCTAGTAAAGATCATGTGGTGAAATCCTATAAATACTATATGCAATTGTGCAAGGAGAAGTTAGCCATAGGTGTGTCCTGTAATTTAAGGCCATACTTGTCTTACCAGTGGTCTGATGATTGTAGCTGTAATGTTATGACTTCAAACTATTCTCGTCTATTGATCAGTGTCAGGGCTGTGCTATTAGAACTCTGTGTTTGTATGTTAATGTAGGATTTTGTAAAAACAATGATACCAAATCTTTTTTAGTACTCTTGTTTTCTAAGCTTCACCCTCCTGGCTTTCAGAAATTCGAGACAATTTCTCCTCTGTATCAGAAACCCAGGGTTACTCCTGCACAGTTCGAAACCCTGGAAAAGAGGAGACGTTCAACATGGATGTTGCCTACTCAGAGCAAGCAGCTGTCCTCCTCAAGGGATCCTTCCTGTCTGAATCTAGGAAGTTAAAGGATGGAAATGCTCTAACTGTAAGCACTGAAGGAATTTCTCCTGTTAGAATTTATTAATCTGTTCTTATCAAGACACTCAGTTCGGTTGTATGATCAGCTCTTGGAAACATCCTCTGTGGATAGTGTTGCAATGGGTCTGTATTGGTATTTTTGGGTACATAGTGCTTTTATCCTTGCAGTGTTGGGCAAGGATAGACACTGTATAGTGGAGGGTCAAAAGAAGTAAGACTTATATCTGAAACTATCTATTTTGACACAGATCTGTGTTGTTTCCTCTGACAAGGGGAGAGTAACTGAACTTACTTATTCATCATCCTAACAGGTTTTTTTGCAGATGAACTGGACTGCTTCCAAAATCCAAGTAGATCAGGGTGGGTATCAGGCTTTAACTTAGATAAATTGGAATGTCCAATATGATCGAAGAGCAATACTGAAAAGGGAAGATATTTATTCAACTAGTGGTTGAGTAGGAGCAGTTTTGGGCATGTGTCTGGTCTTGAACACAGCAGAATGAACAGGTGACTGGCTATGATGAAGAGTCGTAAGAATACAGCAAAAGTTGTTTACTAGTGGAAAAAGTGACAACTTGAACTGAAGCTTTTGGGTGTGTGTGGTTTCCTTTAGAAATTTAAGATCCTCAAGGGCAGACTAGGAGTGACCAGGATTGGAGATCTGTCTGCTCAGGACATGAAGAAGATCCCCACACTGGCCCTCATTGAACTGACAGCTCTCTGTGATATCCTGGGCTTTGAGCTGAAGAGAAACAAAGCAGCAAAACTGAAAACAACAGGTTAGTTGGGGTGTTTTGTTATGTTTTTTTCTTTTTTGGTGCCTTTTTTTTTTATACTCATCTTCTCATAGATTTGTGTCCCAAATGTTAGGACAGAGAGAGTCTTTGATAAGCAACCTTGTGACAGGTGTATTTTCCTTGGTCCTGGAAGTCACTGGATCATGACATCAAGACCTAGTACCACATTTATATCTGGCTATTAAATGCATTTGTCTTGTTTAACTGTTCCTCTCTTTTTCCAGTATCTATGCTTGCAAAAGTGCCATCTTAGTCTGCAGTGGGGGATATACCCCTTAGCCCTGTATTAGAGGTGATACAGACTTACGAACTGTTGTTTCTGTTGTAGAGAAAAGGCTTTTCGGAGTTCCACTCAACACCTTGTTGGAAAATGACCAAAAGCTGCTCCCCAACACCAAGGTTCCTCTGCTACTCCAGGCAGTAAGTTCTCTTCTGCTTTCAGTCACACCTCTGATCCCCAGAGTCATCCTGTGAAAAGGAAGGGCTGACTCCTCATCGTCTGTGCCTAATAGCTTTCTCATTTCCCCTGTTTTTAATAGCTCTTGTCCTGCTTGGAGAAGAGAGGACTTGAAACAGAGGGCATTCTGAGAGTTTCTGGGTCTCAGACCAGGATCAAGGTATGAGCTCTTTAGCAGTGTTTAAAATTGTCAGAGGTGATCAGGGAGCATTTGCTGAAGCGAGTATCTAAATAACCCAAAATAATAAATATTAATATTTATTAATAACCTGTCTCATCTTCTTTCCAATTACAACTAGAAATACCCTGGGAAATCTGGGAGTGCATACTGTGAGAGCCTATGCACTGTTTTGACTTGACAGATTGCCCTCCTAGTGCTCAGCTACAGAATTTTCCCTTATACCTGCTTGTAATAAATGCCATCTTTTTAATAGAGTTTGGAACAGAAGCTAGAAAGGGAGTTCTACACTGGCCTTTTCCACTGGGATGAAGTGCATCAGAATGATGTGTCTGGGCTGCTGAAGAGGTTCATACGGGAGCTGCCAGCCCCACTGCTAACAGCAGAGTACCTCCCTGCTTTTGCTGCTGTGCAAAGTGAGTCCCTGCTCTGCCTGCTTGGCAGCAGTTTTTTGGTTTGTGCTCTTCTTGCAAAGCTCCTATGGCCTTGAACTCTCTTGTCAGGTGTGTTGGGAGCCTGCGGATCCAATGGGAATACAGTGCATGACTGAGAGTCATAGTTGCTGGTGCTTGCTTGAATATGTCTTTGTACACTATCCTGAAGTCTACATTATGTTGTGTCATTTGAGGCTACAGCATTGCTGCCATGCTGTATTAGGTCATTGAAAAAATTAGGACATGAAAACTCAGCTGTGGCCACTGACCAGGATGTACAATCTTGGCTTGACTGCAGGTAACGCAATGTTCTGCAAGCACCTCAGTTTGAGGTTTGTGCCTCAGTGAGTGGTTTGGATGGGTTAAGCTAACTTTTTCAGTGCACAACTTCTTTGTTCAAGAAACGGGGAATAATGGGGTCATTTGGTGCCCTTCAAGGGAATCAGAGTGGCTGGTAGACTGTGTACTCTGAAGGAAACGAGCCAGTCTTCTAAAACATGGGTAATTCCCTTCATAAGGACAGTATGAGCTTGATTTACTTCTATAAAGCAAGTTCTCAAATCCTAGACAACAAACGCTGCAATAAGTAATTGCCTTATTCTTTGGGGGATTCCCTGCTCAAGAAGAACAGTGTCAGAAGTCTGAATCCTCTGTCCTGTTGTTGCTCTCCCTATCTAGATATTCCAGACCTGAAGCAAAGGTTGCAAGCGCTGAACCTCCTGATCCTGATTCTGCCAGAGCCCAACAGAAACACTCTAAAGGTAAAAGTGCTCGTTCTGGTTTTAACTGGAAAAAACATAGAATCATTTAGATTGGAAAAAACCCTTAAAATCATTGAGTCCAACCATTAACCCAGCAGTGCCAAGGCCATCACTAAACCATACCTCCAAGTGCCACATCTGCATGACTTTTAAATAAGCACCACCTCTGGCTTTCTGTGCTTTATAAGAGCTATGGTGGTTGCTACTGCTTTTTTTTTTCTCTTGCATAGTTCAGCTTCCAGGTACTAAAGGCAAGGCAAGGCTGACTTAGCACCCTGAAAACTTTAGGGTTCTGGAATACATAATCAAGCCAAAGATGATCTGTCATGGCTCTGGTGAGGCGTGAGATGAAAGAAATAATCCAAAAGGGTTTATTTTTCCACATCTGGGAATGGCTTTGAAGGGATACTAAGAGGAGGGGTTTATCTTTATATTCTGCAGATTTTACGACTCGACTTTGTAAATTGCTACCTGCCAAGGAGTAAGAGCCCATCTGCTTCCCACACTGACTGTCTCTCCTGATCTCTAAGTGCTGGACAAACTAGTATGCTTAGTATAGTTGCTTGTTGCCGTTTTAGTATTAGAAACTGGTCACTGAACTTCATGACTGGGGAAAGAGAATTTGCTCATGGATAACAAGAAGAAAAAGCTAATTAAGTGATCTCTCCAGCAATTGCCACAGTCTTAAGTCTCTTTCCCTCTCTTCAGGCTCTACTTGAGTTTCTCAGCAAAGTGGTTGCCAGGGAGAACAACAACAAAATGAACCTCTGGAATGTTTCCACAGTCATGGCCCCAAACCTCTTTATGCACAAGGGGCTGCCAAACAAGATCCCTGAAGGGAAGGAGAAGCAGCTGGCAGAGGGAGCGGCTGATGTGGTACGGATGATGATACATTACCAGGATCTGCTCTGGACAGTAAGTTGCACCCATGTTTGGCAGTATGGTGCAGCAGTGTCTTGATCTGGTTAGAGTTAGAAGAGGGGAGGGAATAGTCTTGGAAATTTCAGAGGAGTTAAACATCTGTAGGCAAATCCTCTGACTGAGTTCCAAGACTACCTTGTCTTCAAGGTACACAGATATTTTGTCTATTTCAGGAGCTTCATAAAGTGATGACTGGTTTCTTAAATGACATCCTCATCTCTGCTTGATTTAATTCCTGTCTTCTCCCTTCTCCCTTGCCCAGGTCTCCTCTTTTCTGGTAGCTCAAGTGAGAAAGCTGAACGAGAGCAACAGCAAAAGGTACCAGTTCTGTGACAAGCGAATTAAAAATTTGTTGCGCAAGATTCACGTTGATAAAGATAAGGTGGAAAAGAACCAGGCAGAGGTGAGTTGAGGCTTTGAAAAAACAAGCCATTTCATGGCAGTGTCAAATGCTTTCATGAGAACTCAGAAAGCTGTAAAGAGGGATGTTCTTTGAAGAGCAAGAGAGAGAAAAAAGTTGCAGAATAGTGAGGAACAGTTTCCCAGACTCTCTCGGCCAGATTGTGGCAAAAACTGATTCCAACAACAAGAACACTAAATACGTTTCAGGCTACAAAACACTTGGTGAAAAGCAGATGAAGAGGGAAGAGACCAGGAGCAGAAATGCTGGTCTTTACCTCATGTGAAAAGCAGAATTCATGTGGCTCTGGGTGCCCTAGGTGTTGGCACAGATACATCTGCTGTGATAAAGGCAGACTTATTTTCAGGAACTTAAAACAAAAATTTAGGTTATTATAGCAGTATTGTATCTAATTTTCTTTTTGCTCCATAATGCTGTTGATCCGTATGGAAGGGTTTGAGGAGGAGGTTCTTGCTGCTTAAAGGGAGAAAAGTTCCCTGATGAACGACATGGCTCTGCGCACTCTCGTACTGGTGCAGACTGAGGTTGTTTAAACAGATGTTTCTACCTGATCTGTTTCAGTATCAAAGCTGGGAAAAGATCCTTGGAGCCATTCTGCCTGGGGTTTTTTGGTAGCCATCTTAGTTGAATATCTGCAGGTCTGTAGGGGCTGTGTTATATCATGCAGGGCTGGATTTGAAATATCACATAGTGGTGGTGCAACCAGGATGCTCTAAGGACACAAGCTTAGTTGGAGTCTGCAGGTAGAAATAATAATTGAAAGTTTAAATCTGCATTCCTGAAGAAGAGTCTATGTTCTCACAAGCCAATACATTCCCCACCTTTCTATGGCTGGGATACTGAGATGATGTCTGCCTAAAATACGGCTGTTAAGATGACATGTCACTGTTGAAGGTGCTGTCATTTTGGATAGGGCAGCTACTGTTTAGGCAATCAAACAGACGACCCCATGCTTAGGAAATGGTTAACACCGTTCTAATGGACTCAATCTTGTGCACTGTTTTTGCAGAGGTTTTGGGATTGCAAAATTAACTTACAGCAGGTTAAATCCTGTGAAAATAATTCAGTGTTCTTGGCAAAAGTTCTGAGAAGTTACTTAATGGAGTAGCTGATTAAAACAGTATTGGAAAAAAAACCCCACTTGGACTCAGCTCTGTGATGGCTCAGTGCTTCCTTTCTTTGGAAACTACCTTTCTGAAATTCAGTAGTGTGCAATCCAGCTGTCTAAGCTCCTTTTACAGTAATTTAAATGAATTTCAGAGAAGTCATTCAGACTCGTGCAAACCAGTTTGTTAAAATTTCTTGCGACAAATCCTATTTTCATCCAAGCTTGTGTCGCTTTCTGGTGGTAGTGCTGGGTTTGAACAGCAGAGAGCACCACCGCTCGCTGATGGAGAGCACAGGTCTCCTTTCCCGGACACAACACCGAAATGCTAGTGATTTATTTATAATGCTCACCTTGATGCTGCTTTAAGTTTTTAACCTGTAGAATGCGTGGAATAAGAAACAAGGCTAAAGTCTATGAGCAGCTGGCTGGATAGGTGTAATTCTTTACACTCCAATCTATTTTGAAACTTGGGGTTTTGACTGATAATAAACTCTTTAAGTACTTTTTTTTTTGTTTTTTTTGTTCAGCCTTCGAAGATTGTGAAAGTCCACGCATCACTCCTCCTGAAGGACTCACTGGAGGTGCATTTGAACAATGCAACCAGGGTTGCAGATGTCCTCAGGCAGTTTCAAAAGAACCTGTACCAGAATGGCTGGAATATTGTTAACACTGTCAACCTCCTCAAGTGGTAAATTGCTTTTTCTCTGCTTTAAAAAAAACAAACCAACAACAAAAAACAAACAAACAAACAAAACCCACACAAAAAAAAAACCACAAACAAACAAACAAAACCACAAACAAACAAAAAACCCCCAACTAAGTGGTTGCTGTTTTTGATCTTGTGGCTGAGATGATGTGGCAACACAGGGAATCATGAGGAGACTGTTCTCTGCTTCTCTATTCTCAGCAGTGGAAATAGTGTGTTGGATGGGGAAGTCAAGTGTTAGTTCAGCTGAGTGATTCCATTCTGTGCTTAGGCTGTCAAGAGGTCAGTGGTCCCATCCCCTCTGGGCTGCTGGACAGCAAGTGAACTCCAGCAACCTTGCTGGAAAAGTAGGTGGAGAAAGGAAGGAAAATCGGAATAACATTGACCCTGCAAAGCAAATCCTCTCTAACTCACCTGGAAAAAACATCACCTGTGCAAATTACCTGCCTGGAGAGTAATCTCAACATGAATATGTTAATGTAGGGATTTCCTAAAATGAACTCTGCAATTCCCTCCTGTGCTCCAGTGGTAAATTGCTGAAGTAACCCAAAAAATGAACAGAAGAGTTCCTGCCCCACTCTGTCACCATTCCTGCACACTGTATTTAGTAGATAATGCAGCAGTGCATCTCCTGACTGTGTCACACAAGGTATCTAGACAAGGAGGATGGGGGGGAAGTTGGCTGATTACGAGTCAGCTGGTATCTCACTAACAGCTGCCAAAGTCTTCCTGCAAGTGAGCTTCTCTGGAGTAGTCCATCAGTTTTTGAGGAATGCTGACAGTGAACTTTGATATTTATGCCTGTTGTTTTCCAACTGAAAAGTTAGTGTTTACATACAGTGTGCTGCTTGCTGCCAGTGAGGAATAACTGCCTTGGTGGTTTTTTTTTCCAGTTTTGGGTGTCCTTCTCAACACCTGTTCAGGAGGATCAGCAAGGTCTCTGTACCATGGCCTGTCGCTTCCTTGACCATTGCTGGCCTCAGAACCACAAACAATTCTTTTGCAATAAACAGTACTGAGCAACCTAACCTGTCATTGCAAAGATTTAACTTCAGTGTGTTTTTCTTTCTGCAGTAACAACTCAACAGAGTGCACAAACTTATTTCTGTATGAAGTGGGAGGTAATATTGGTAAGTACAAAAGGCAACTGAAAATAAGGACTCTGTTACCCAATTTTTATGCTTAACTTGTTTTAGAAAAGAGTTAAACTTCTCTGGGCAAGCTGTGCTGTGCTTCACCACCCTCAGAGTGAAGAATTTCTTCTTAATATCTAATGTACATCTACCCTCTTTCATTTTGAAGCATTACCCCAGATTTGTGAAAACACTTCTGAATGGTGTAATATTGAAATTAATGTTAACAAGTACTGATTTTTAGGTGAGGGAAAACCAAACAAAACCCAAAACCTAACAACTACAGAACTAAGGACATAAAAAAAAGTGGGGTTTTTTCCTGAATGTTTTGTTTTAATAGGTGAACATTGCCTGGACCCAGACACTTACCTCTTGGACTTGTACCACATCAACCCCCATGCTGAGTGGATAATTAAGCAAAACCCATCTTTTCCTCGGATGTTCTAAGGGAAAGATGAGAAAAACAAAGCATTTGGTTGAAGTTTTTGGAAGTTATGGAAATAGAGACATTTCTGGTGTAGTCACAGACTGGACAATGCTTGTGACTTTGGAGGTAAAAACAACTTTATTTACTGCTTCCATGGCAGCTGGCAGTGAGAGTACGTGAGCCTACCTGCTAACAGAGGTGTTGGAAACAAGCAGCAGTTCCTATGTAGAAGAGTTTGCAGGGGGAATGACTGTTCTTAAACAAAATATCCCCCCAAAACAAGCCCTGAAGCAAAGCAACAGTGATTGTGCAGCAAATATGGAATGTAAAAGAAGAAAGGTCAACCTGAAGATTTTAGAAAACATCTGTCTATTCTGGATTTGCTCTTTTTTTTTTTTTTTTTTGGTCGGATCCACCATTTGGAGGAGAGACAGTCAAATTGCTGCAGTGGTATTAAGGATATCCCCTTGGTAAGGTCCATGATTGCCTGGTGCACATCACCAGAAGTTGAGACCATAGGTTTCACTAAGAGACACTGTTATGTTCTTTGAAGAATGAAGAAGGGTGTTTGCAAAAAGGCCAGGTGGAATGTGATGCCAACATCCTGTATTTAATGATTGCAGATAAATACATACACAACATAAAGAACATAACTTTCCCTGCAAAAAATGGACAGCAACCTTTCAGATGTGCAGTGTGACAAGAGAGATGTGTGTCCCATACAGCTCTGCTGGTTATGCAAAACCAAATCTACAGGCTGCCATTGATGAGGGTAAAACATGCATTTATTTTGCTGGACAACCTATATGTCAACAGAAAACAGGAAATATTCTGAAGTTAATTTGAGGTTAGTAATCTGACCTGGCCACATAAACTGAACATCTTTGTGGAGGATTCTGTGTGAACATGTCTGTCCAAAACAAACCAAGCCTCCCCTGAGATGTGAAGTGGCTGAACTGAGAGGTCTATGCCTGTGCCTGGTCACACAGTGGGTACTGAACTGAGCCTTCATTGCTCCAGCTGCACATTTCCATCCCTCACAGCACAATGTGGTCGCTGTGGGTGGAGAATGAGGGTAGAGCAAAACACTTGCACCTCACATTGCTGCTGCATCATCATCATCCAACCCCAGTTAAAAAGGACTCTACTCCTGGAGGAGGAGCACAGAAGAATTGTATTCCTTTGTGATGTTACTGAAATACCTTATGTGAGGGAACCCACTGTGCAGTTACAGAGGATGGAACATGCATCGTATCCAGAAATCCGGATGTCTCTTTTTATGTCCCGTTATTAAACACTGTTGGATATTTATTCCTGTGGCAGAGGCAGGGCTGCCCTGCAAGTGTATGCTCAGAGTATTTCATTTGCCAAATTCTAGGTGCACTAGTGACAATCTCCAGTATTATTTCTTTTGTTAAATGAATTGGTTTCCATTGCAATCTGAATTTTCCCCCCTCTCCTTTTTTTCCCCCGAGGCTGATGTGTAGCTTTCCTTACTCTTTATCTCAAACTCCTAGTTTCTGTTGTAAGGGCACTTCACTCTGTCTGTGTGGTTAAATTCTTGTGGTGGTTAAGATCCTAGAAGAACAGGTGAGCCATACTCCATATTCTTTCCAGCCTGTTATGAACAGTATGTGAGTGGTGGTGATATCTTAAAATTATGCATATATTAGAGAGTCTGTCTAGTATTTTTTGGTTGAGATGATGCAGATGCATTGACTGGTTGGACCATCTTCATAGCTGTCTTCTTAAGAAATGATAATATAAACTTGCAAAAAAACCACCTCCCAACCCTGACCGAGATCCCCGATGTCAAGAATTCTTGAGGGAGGTGCCCCTTTTATGGGGTTTAAATTGTGCCTAAAAGAGCCTGATTGTTTTCCTTGAGGATGAGAAATTTGTGCCTTGAAAGATCAAGCTGCTTTAAAATGGGGCATTAAAAATCAATGGTACCTATTTACTCATCACTTGTAGAATTCTTTGTTGCAGTGATGGAGTTGGCAAAGAGCGAATGCCAGAAATGTGATAACTCAAGAAATACCCAACTCATAAAGGCATGGGTGTGAGCTCAAAGATCTTTTGCAGGCTAAATTGCACCCCTGCAAATCACATAATGCTGCATTTTTTTTCCACCCCTCATATGCTGGTTTATGAAACATACTGTCAGTATGTATTGAGAGGTCACTACATCACTGCTACTGTAAACTACAAATGATTGGGTTTTTTTGAAAACCAAACAATGTGAATCAGTGCTGTGAAAACCAAGGTTCGTGGGAGATTCTTAAGAGACAAATATCAGGTCTCAAACATGAAAGGAAATGTAAAAAAAAAAAAATCAGCTCTTTTCAGATGATGGATGTGCTTTTTTTTATTTTTCTGACCTGTCTTTGTATCAAAAAGTAAACGCAAATTTTTTGGTCACTGATGTGCAACCCACTTTTGAATGCTGGCTTTTAATAACGTTTTTTACAAATTTTTAATTCTGTATTTAAATTCCATTTTATTCAGTGAAACAATAAAAATACAGTGAAATCTCTTGGCTCCATTTTCATTAGTGGCTGAGAATAAGTTAGTATGTCTATGAATGCTAGCATTATTTGCCTTGGGCCTGAAGAGGGATGTACCTGGGGTCTAAGTGAGCTGGGCAAGAGTTTTGTATTAAAGCTTCAGGAGAAGTTCCTCTTTGGATGATCCTGTGGGATTGCTGCAAAAGAATGATCCAGGAGGAGAAAAAAGAGGATGGTGATGGGTGTAAAAAGTCCAGAGAAAGGTTAATGGGAGCTGAAGGTGAGCACCAAGGATTAATGACTTCTGAGCTGCTGTTAAAGATTTAAGCTTGAGGAAGGATGAGAAGTCCCTTTCCCACTCCCTCAGTCCTTCTCAGCTGAGCTGTGCTCAGTGACATGGGTGCTGGACTAGCCAAATTGGCAAGGAATAATAGGAATCCAGTCTGAATATTTTGTTAAATCGTGACTAATACTTTATTGTTCAATAGTCAGTGATAAAATGTGGCATAAATCCACTGTGATTTGTTTAAAAACAGTAACAGCAGCAGCCCGTCTGGTAGTGCTGCTGGAAAAACAGGAATTACTATCCTACCCAGAAACAAAAGGGAAAGAGGATCCAAGTGGCTTTAGAAAGCTTCCAGAGCAATTATCTGAGGAAAAGACCAGCTTATCAAACTCGTTTTACCCATTCATCTTCAGCACTATCAAAGTGCTGATCTCTCCCATCCCCAAGGGCTTTTGTGATTGATCATTACACAGCTCTCCCTTGCTCACAATAAAAGCCCAGTATTTATTCTGCAGGCAACTTGAATGCAACTTTATGCTGTGCTGAGATAACAGGACAGAATATAAAACAATCTTGCAAATGCTGGTTAAACATAGTTGTGGGTTAAGTGGAACTGAAATACCACACGTTAATTAAAAAAAAAGGTAATTTGCATCAGGAAAAGGTATTTGCAGAAATACAGGGTCTTCACAGGAACAAGTGAAGCTTCAGCTCCTGGAGGGAAATGCCACAGGAAAACAACTAAATGCACTTCCTGGAGCAAAGTAAGTGACAGCAAGTATTATTGTAAATGAAATACAACTGCATTTGATTAAATCTGTTTCTTTATCCTTGTGCACTCCCCAGTGCTGAAAATGAGATAAATGACATCTGTTGTTTTGCATGCTAAGAGAATGAAACTTTAAAGTTCTCTCCAAATGCTGGTTGGTCTTGACTGCACATGGGGGCTGCATATATGTCTTCAGCTTCAGGGGAAAATAGAGGCCACAGTTCAGTATTTTAAGTTACTGGAAAAGAAAATGTGCAGCTGCACTGACTTATCATCTGGGAAACGGCCAGGGCAGGATCAGCCCCCATAGTCACCCCCAGCCTCCTCTACTACACCCGATCTCAGGTTTTATGTTTTTTTTCGTTCCTTGTGGTGACAAACACCCTTGGTTGTCCCTCCCCATTCTTCACTGTCCTGGGGAAGGTAGGCGACCTCACCTACCAAGGTCCTTTTCCCCAGCACCTGGACCTGGCAGGATCAACAGAGCTCAAGGTGTTGAAGCCTTTCCTTCCACACTGTGCTCTGTTATCTAGTTCTGTCCAAGGATTGGCCCAAAGAACGTGGGTGGAGGAAGGAATTCCTTTTCTCTGTAGTCCTTGAAGTGGTGTGGTTTTCATCTCTCTGACCCTCTTGGCTGTCTGTACTTTTCTGGCTGGTGAAGTTGCAGGAGTAATTACCTGGGGGATAAAGGTGGAAAAGAGCAAGAAGCCAAACAGAAATGGAGGGTGTGGGTGTACCTGTGTGGGTTGCTTGTCATTTTGTTTGTTGTTTTGCAGGATTTGGAAGAGATACAGATGCGCGTGAGCTCTGATGTTCTCTCCTTGCTCACCTCAAACCTTGCTCTTGGCAGGCTGCAGTAGAAGCTTGCCTCAGAGATTCCCCATTCCATGCAGGATGACGACCAAAGCTGGTTTCCTTTGCCCTCAGCTTTTGCCAGCCTGCCCTTTCTGTGACAGGAGGGTGAGGTGAGCCTTCAGTAACGAACACATTTCAAGTTAGGCCATGTGTGTGGATGGATGATTCAACCTGAGCATGGACTGCTTGTGACTTGTGTTCAAACTGAATCTTTTGAGCCTTACTTAGAGTCTTAAAAGTCTGAGGAGTGTGATTATACATAACTCACTGGTCTTACTTCCTACCTCAGCTTTTTGTGTGTGCCCAGTCAATGCAGGAAGAGAAAGTCGCTCTCATTTGCACTGGTGACTCTAGTTAAGCCTTCTCTGGGCACAAGAGCAATCACAAAGTGGAATAATTGCCTTTTATTTATAACAAAATGGCAAAGCTGTCTCAGGGTTTCAAGTGAGACAATTAAAGATTTTTACATTGTTTTCTTCAAAAGGAGAAATAGACCTTGGGGTTCCCTAATAGCCCTCCTGATTCTGAGCCATGCTCTCAGAGTGTGTTGTTGTGGGTTGCATTTATGAGCCACTTATTATCCCTAATTACTGAGCAGGAGGTAGGTCTCTCCCTAATAGGCGAAGTTGTGACTTGATGAACACTCAGCTGTCTCTATTTAAGATAAAATTACTGTAATTAACAAATCGATCAACCTTACTTTCGCTTTGCCTGACTGGGACAGAGCAAATGGACTAAATGAGGCCCTTTTAGCACAAAGGTAGAGAAAGGGGTTTGCAGATCTCAGGATACAGAGGCTTAAAGCTTTTTTTGTCACACACTGCTTTTAATGGTAATGTCACATAATTGTCTCTTGTTAGATAATTTTGTCTCCAGCAAAAAGCGCCCATGCTGGGCTTTCTTCAGCTCAGCCCAGCGAGGCAGAGTCCTGGCAGGCGAGCAGCCAGGTGGGTTGATTTGCTATAATCTACACCTCGATCAGGGCTGGGTTGGATTCTCTGGGTGGTGCCCTTCCTTGTGACTCTTACTGAGTTGTTTGCAGAATGTATGTCTTTGAGAGCAAGATTAATCCCTCAGGTTGTCTGTTGCCTGCTCTGACTGCCCAGATGCCACCTTGCTGTCCAAGGGCATCTGTGCTTTTAGCCCGGAGCCAATCCTTCCACCCTGCTGGTGTGAGAAAAACTTGTCTCCAGCTCTTCTTCCAGGTAATTGGAGCCACGTGCTGTCTAGAAAACATTCAGCTACAGGAATTCATTCCTGTTGGAGCTTCTGTACCTGTGTGGGTTGCTTGTCATTTTGTTTATTGTTGCTTGTTATTTTGCCTGTGCACTCTGGCAAACTCACAGTGCCTGTGTAGTCAGCCTATCCTTTCTACCTGGTCACACCGAGATTGTGAAACATCCACACATGTATTTAGGGTGATCCCATTAAGTAGATGAGATATCAGAGGGCCAAGGAAATGCTCCCTGTTTCACTGTGTTCAGCCCTTCTGTGAAATGAACTGGTAAAGGGTAGATCTGCTACAGCTAGGAAAGGGTCTGGAGCATAAGTCTGAAGAGGAGTGGCTGGGGTTGCTGTAGGGCTCAGCTTGGAGAAAAAGAGGCTCAGGGGGGATTATCTCACTCTCTACAATTCCTGGACAGGAGGGTGGAGCCAGATGGGGATCAGGCTCTTCTCCCAGGTAACAAGTGACAAAACGAGAGGAAATAGCCTCAGGTTGTGCTAGGGGAATTTTATATTAGAGATTGGGAAAAAATTCTTTGCTGAAAGGATGGTCAGGCATTGGAATGGGCTGCCCAGGGAAGTGGTGGAATCGTCATCCCTGGAAGCGTTCAAAAGTTGTGTGGATGTGGCACTACAAAATGGGACTGCTTCAGCCTCAGCTGGCTGCTCCTTGAGGAGGATGAAGATGTCTGCGGTGGAAGCTAGTTCTCCTTGCCAGCAATGGTTCTTGCTACACCAACTCATCTAGCAGAAGGAGGGTTTTGCTTACACACACTGTGTAAGAAAATCATAGTCAAATTTATTCCAACATATTGGTAAAAAAAGGTGTTGCATATGCTAGGGGAGGTTTATCCTCACTATATCCAAACCCATGAGCAGCAGCCTCAGTGTGATAAGGACCTTAGGGCAGAGGGATAAATTGAAACTGGAGAATGTCTGGCTTGATCTGTAATGCTGACGGCTCAGTGTTTCAGAGGGATTCATCATTGCCACCTCGTGCCGTGGCAGGTGTGGCTGCCCTCCATTTTGGACGCTGGTTATGTCTGTTGGGTGTTTGGCTGCTCTTTTCCCCTGCTGCCCATCACTCTCCATTGGGCATCTCCTCCATCCAGCTCCGGAGAGTGCCTGGCTGGGAGGGACGGTGAGTCCCTGCTGTAACTGTCACATACATGCAAGGAAAACCCGCGTTGAGCCGTCAAAGGCAAAGCCAAAAGCATTTGAAAGCTTCATTAGCCAGGCTTTGTTCTGACGGAGTAGTCAGGCGAGGAAATAATGCCGGGAGTGTTATCAGCCATGTGCAGGAGGCGGTTGCGTAGCAACCCCGATTGAGGGACGGTGCCGCTTCTCTGCCGGAAAGAGAAATACTCATTTTCTTCAATTTAGAGGCATTTTAAACAGAAATTCATTACTGATGAACGATTTGCTCAGGTTTTACATCTGTTCAAGAGATGGCAAGCGGTGCTGGCCTTGTTTTAACATTGTGTCGGTGCAAACTCATAAGGCAAACGGACCTGAGACAATCTAGGTTTTGTTTGTGGTTTCAGCTGCTGTTTTCCATCCCTTTGTCTTGCTGGGGCTCTAAATGGGATGAGGACTGGAAATTTCATTGTTCTTATAAGACCTGATGTGAAAGCATCTCCAGGGAGCCCTCCCTTGGTACCATGTTGGTTATTACAGGTGAGGAGGGTGACCAT